AGAGCTAAAAAAAGGCTACATTTTGCAGTTTTTTTAAATGAAATATCTGAATAGAATTTCCACAACAAAAATACAGAAATTAGTCAATATCTGCATAATTCCCTCATTTTCATTTGGTAATTAGATCCCAAACTAAGTTCTTCATTCATTTTTTTTATTTTATCTTTATCAGTTCCCAATAAAGCAAAATTTACACATCATATAGTCATAATATCGTATTTCCAATTTTAATACTTAGGAAGAAAAGTAGCTGCGTGCAACATGATAAATAAAACAACGGCTGCAACTCTTATTTCTCAGAGAAAGATTACAACATTAAAGTTCTTGTTTCTACAAAATTGTAACAAAAAAAAGTTTCTGTAAGGTCAATTCTAAAAATAGAAGTAAAACTGTCATTCTTCGATACAACTACAAAAGCACATTTTCTAGAATAGTCATTTATAATTAGAACCCATTCTTTTCTAAAGTCTCTTGCAGCACTAGATAAATCTTATGGCTCATTGGACTGTAGAGGTTGCTGACCCCTGACCTTTCCGCAGCTATACTTTCAAGAGAAACAAGCCATTTCAAATTCTAATAATCACAACAGCACAGTCATTCTCCCACAATAAATGCTCCAAAACTACCTTTATTTCACGATAATCCCATCTGCAAACAGGTTTAGGGTGCAGAACGCCCTGAGCGTCAGTTTAGCTCGTCTTACTCAGCCCTCAGCTCTTTGCAGGGTAATAAGCATGCAATGCAATTTGAACTATGCAAAGGCAGTAAATGCATAGTTCAAGTTTATTACCGTGTGTGTTCTGTGCCGACGTCTGACAGCTGCATGCTTCTTTTCCTCGACTGTTATCAAGTCACGTACGGCTTTTTGCAAAAATATTCAACCCCCCTCTGGATCTTTTTACATTCACAAATAAACTGTTCTGTGTATTTTATTTATTTATTTATTTTTTTGTATGTGATTAACCAAAAATAGAAATTTAGTCTCTTAAGAAATGGAGTAAAACATTTACATGTGTTTGAGTTTTATACCTATTGCTATATATTATTGTCGAAGTAGCTCTCTAGTAGCTTTGCTTTTTTTTTTTTTTTTTTTAAACATTGAAAGGAATATGCGTACTATCGGCAAATATCGGAGCGCGGCTTTAGCGGCAGTATAAATATCAGAAATTAGCTTAAGGGTTCATATCAGTTCAACCCTCGTTTTTTTTGTTTTTTTTAGAACGGAGAAGAAAGACGGGCTCTCACAGGGGTGGGTGATGTTGGCGTTCTCCAGCAGAGCCACGTAGCCGGTGACGTTGCTGGGGATGCGGATGTCTCTGATCTCCTGCAGGGAGAGCCGCGTCTTCCCCACAGACACCGAGACCAGCTGAGGCATGTAGCTGTGGTCGTTGGAAGCCACGGCGATGGCCAGACGTCTCAGAACCACGTCTGGCTTCAGCTTCAGTCTGGGAAGTGGAAGAGAGAGTGCAAGAAAAAAAAAAAACTTAGAAGAGTCACGACTGGACGGTTTCAGGACCGCAGAGTCAGAGTCGCACTTTTCACCTGATCCAGTGTGAGCGCGCGCTGCCGTCCGACTGCCAGAAGGACGACGTTTCCCCGTTTGTCATCTTGTAGATCTCGGAGACGTTGGAGGACGCTTCTATCGTGCTGTAGCACTGTGTGACCACCTTGACTTTATCCACGTCTGGGTCGCGATCCAGCTCTGCTCTGTACTGGATGTCTAAATCTGAAAGGAAGCGACTCCAGTCGGGACAAACTTCTGCCACAGCGGCCAGGAAGCGAAGATGCATCGCATCTCTAATTCTTAGACCACCTCACTCTGTCACTCACCTTTCTCCTTCTGCAGGAGAAATTCCAGGAAGTCTTGAACCACGCTGGACCTCATGGTGCAGATGCTGTTGTAGCCCTCTAAAATCGGGAACGGGATGGCACTGCTGGGAATGCGATTCCTGTGGAGGAACTTAAGGATCTTAGAGGCGTGGGCTCCTAATCGGTCTTTGCTCTTTGAGAAGATGTCGACGAAACCTGTAGGAAATAAAAACAAAGCAAATAAGAAACAAAACAATTAAACAACAGTCTGACTTCAGGCAAATGGTGTCCAGGCATATACAGAACTTCATAGATTTAGTGTAGCAAATATTAACAGAATCAACTATTAAGTCCAAACAAGAGAAGAAAAAAGAAACAAAAAAATACACATAATCACCATTATGACAGTTTCAAATATTTAAGTCCTTTTATAGTTTTCAATCATTCTATGTTTTAATTCCCTCCTAAACTGTGTTATGGTATAGTCAGCTTACGATCTTCTGGTAAACTACATTAGCTAAATAGCTAAAATTAATTCAGAACATCTCTGAAGAGCAACTTCCAAGTCTTGCAACAGGTTCCGAATCAGATTTAGTTCTGGACTTTGACTGGGCCATTTCAACAAATTCATGTGTTTTGATCTAAACTCTTAAATCGGGTCCCTGGCTGTGGGTTTGAGGTTGTCGTCTAGCTGAAAGCTCACGGCCCTTTTGCAGCCTCCGACATGCTTTCTTTCAGCGTTGTCCTGTAATTATCTCCACCTGCCATAAACTCTGACTAGTTTCCCTGCTCCTGTTGAAGAAAAGAGTCGCTACAGCATGATGATGCCACCACCATGTTTTTACAGCCAAGGTGGTGCGTTCAGGGTGATGTGCGGTGTTAAGTTTTGCATGCATGAAAAATGTTCAATCGTTCTCTCATTTAACCACCTACTTCCACATGATTGCTCTGTTCCCTCGTGAGCTCGAGTCAAAACTTTAAACTGTTTTTTCCAACACATTCTCCAATCTGTAGCAGCTCCTCCAGAGTCTCCACGGGGCTCACGGCTGCTTCTCTGAATAACATCCAAAATTCACAGCCAGCCAAATTTAGGATGAGAGTCAAGTCTTGGGAGTTGTGTCAAAATCTTTTTTTTTTTTTTTTGGATAACAATTTTAAACTTTAAACTTTCGAGTCTAATTCAAGTCCCGAGTCATTGCTGTCAAAAGTTGAGTCAAAAGTCGAGTCAAAAGTTTTTGACCATTTTTTTCTTTTTCTTTTTTCTTTTTACAAATCAAGTCATAACATGAAGGACTCGAGTCAAGTCATGTAAACTCGAGTCCACATCGCTGATATTTGACAGGTTAACTTTGAAAGTAGCTGGTGGCAATGGCGTCTAAGGGTACAAAATATGAAATCATGCCACACTTTTCAGAATATTTAAACAGACATCAGTTTAAAAAAATACATTGAATTTTAGGGCTGTAATGAAGAACGTAGTAGGTGCAGGTGCGTGTGTGTGTGTGTGTGTGTGTGTGTGTGTGTAAACAAATTCCCAATCTTACCTGGTGTGAGGGAGCACGCTTGGAGCTGTCGTATCACATGACTCAATTCTCCCTGAAGATTAGCTCCGTTGGAGTTCTTCAGAGCAATCAGCATGCTCTCTATGTCCACCACTCCATCCCCCTCTGCATCAAACTGTCCAAACGCCTGCGATCGGGGAAACAGAAGGCGACACACCCTTACACTCTGACACAAATCAATCCCATCACAACACACAACAAACGCATGCAAACACAATTCCTAGAACTCACAACTGAATTACCCCTACATGCATAATGGATTAAAGTACTTCTTTGAAAGTGTAGCTACATGCAACATACATTTAAGGGAAGCAGATAGCAGCGATGTGTTTGTGTGTTGTGCCTGAAGGAGTCAGTGCGCCGCTCACTACTTTTAACACATGAAAGATGGTCTTTGTCTGCCCACACAGAGTCAAATATGCAGACTGAGGCACAAACTTATCACACACCACCTGGCTGTCAGCGCACAAAAAGGCAGCAACAAAGAGACCAGCACTGAAAACAACTGAGACAATAACCCTGACAAGTAAAAGTAACAACATCACAGCTGTTCAGTGCGCACTCTGCAAACTACATGACTTGATTTCTGCTCCTCTCCCTACAATCAGAGAAGCTGATTAGTCACTATGGATGGGCGCGGTGCCGCTATCAGCAGTTCACCTCTCATACCTGCGTCAAAAAGTGTCAAAACACCTGATATACATGTCATGTCACAAATGACAGCAATGCTTTCTTTTCTGTTGTTGTGTTGTTGTTTTTTCCGCTTTCAAAAACGTATGTACCTCTTCACATTCATTTCTGGGAGCATCTCTGCTCTCCAACATTTCGCAGAACTGTTCCACATTGACGGACTCCTCGCCGCGGTTCAACCGGTCCTCCAGCCACCGTATCAGGACGCCCTCGTTACCGGACAGGACGGACTCGTGAATGGTGACCCCCGAGTCGCTGACACGGGCGGCCGCTTCTCTTAGTTTCACTTGCTCCAAAAGGAACGCGGGGCTAGGTGGTCCCTCGGTGGCGGCGGGTGGGTTATTCGATCCCCTTCCGCTTCGCCCAGACCCGGTGCCTCCGCTGCCTCCGACAGCACCGCCAATGGCCGCAGAGGCCAGGTTGTCTTCCGCGAAACCGGGACTCTCCGTCTCTATGTCCTCCTCGTCGCCGCTCCCTCCACCACAGCCACTCTCTGCGTTCCCCATGTTCGTCTGACCCACCTTGGGTTCCCCCTAAAAGTCCCCACGGCCTCCGCTGGTGTCGGTTTTGAAGCGGCCGTGCTTTACCGGGGTCCGTACACAGACCTCTGTAACGTCAACCTACAGCCAGAACTCCGCTACGCTCTACTACCGCATTCACGCACTGTACGTCAACTTGCTGAAAAGAGACGTCCTCTGCGTATCTCGGCTGCGCAGGCGCCGTGCCGTCAGCACCACCATCAGGTCCCACCATTCTCAGTCCTCTTCCGGTTCATAAACTCTTTTCTCTCTGCCCCAGACGCCTAACCCATACGTAACCTTGACACATAATCCTGACCTCTTCCACAAACACAACATTTAACATAACTTATACTAAAATTGTTTCGTAGTCGCAAACTGGAGGATAACTTGGACAGTTTGTTGCGCATGCGCCATTTTACATAAACTGTTGGGAACCTTTTGAGCTCCTCGGCTGCGCACGCACCTGCTTCGTCACTGCTCATTCTAAAAGGCATGAAGTGATGTAAGTAGATGGATACCTCAACAGTCTCCAAAGAGACATGCTGAGATACGCGCTGGGCGCGTGTTTGTCTGTTTTAGTGGCAGTGCTGTTTTTTCCTCCTGACTGGTCCGGTGGTTGGGGAGGGGAATCACAGAAGGTGGCCCCGGCGCGGCTCCTGAGCAGGAGTGACCTGTCTCTGTACGACGGAGAAAAGGGCAGCAGGGGCCTGTACTTGGCCATTCTGGGCCAGGTTTTTGATGTACACAAAGGACACAAGCATTATGGACCCGGGGGTGGTTATCACTTTATGGCAGGTGATGCCACTCTTCAAATTGAGTCTACAATATTATTAAGCTAGGACCACTTTATTATTAAGTAGTATGTTGTATGTTGTGTTGAACGCCTCTGTATTTTCAGGGAAAGATTCCTCCTTGGCTTTTATCACAGGAGATTTCACAGAAAGTGGCCTGACGGATGACGTCTCCAGTTTGTCTCCGCTGGAGGTGGTGGCCCTTTATGACTGGATGGATTTTTATCACAAAGAATACCAGCATGTTGGTAAGGATCTTTACAATTTAAGCCTCTCGTTTTCTTCCTCCTCTTCAGGTGTTTTTAGCGTAATCAAAATATATTTTTTTCCCCCCCATTACTACCCATTGCGACGGGATTCAGCTGAAGATCCACCAAACCCAACACGGACCACAAGACTGATTTGTTATTGTGGATTTTCTAACATTTTCCTGCCGTGAAATGGGGTTTTTAAGCACACTGGGTAAATTCTCCAAAGGGTCGAAGTGAAGGCTTTGGGAAGACCTTCATCACTTCTTACAAAAAACAGCTATATGTTGGGAATTATTGTCCTATTTAAATGGAAAACTGTAGTTTATTCAATTTAACACATTTTGATCTTAATAGTCACCCTTCAATACAGTTTTATTTATTTGTAATAATCCATCCTTTTTTCTTTTTTTTGCATCCTCCAGACAAAGCTAGTTGATACTTCCTGACTTACAAAGTTCAATTGCCTTCTTTGAATTGCACATTTAGGGTTAGGGTCAAATAATTTCTCTACAGTACGATGCGCTGAATTTCAGGGTTGGTAGTGGGACGGTTCTACGATGAGACTGGACAGCCCACAGCGGCCCTGCTGGAGGTCGAAGCCTCACTAGCAGAGGGCCAGAAACTGAAGGCCCAATCAGAAGCCGAGAAGATTCTCTTTCCTCCTTGCAACGCCGAGTGGAGCTCTAGTACGGGCAAAAGAGTCTGGTGCTCTACTAAAAGGTATGGAAACACTTCAGACCTATTGTCTCATTATGAAATTTGAAAAATGTAATGTTCCTCCCCCCCCCGTCCTCCCAACGCAGCGGTGGAGTGAAAAGAGACTGGACTGGCGTACCACGAAAGTTCTTCTCCCCAGGTTCTGGTCATACACGGTGCATCTGTGTCAAAGATCCATCTGCAGCAGCAGATCATCCCAGCATGCAGAAATATGACGGCTGCCCTTCAGATGCCGAGTCATGCATGGTGGGAGACGACTAAGAACAATGGGCCCAATTCACTCACAATTACAACAAACCTATGTAGATGTATATCAAACAGAATAAAGACATTTTACTGCACGCTTTGTCGATGACCTTTATGTAAAGTTGTCCTCCCTTTCTCTAAAAGAATACACCAGGAAGAGACAGGCTAGATATCTGAGCATACAGATACAATACAATGTGCATAAAAGATTTAACAATGTGCATAAAAGATTAACAGAGGCAAGATTTTTTCTCCTTTTCTTTTTTAGGGTTTGTCACAATGACAAGCACAAACTGCATTTTAAAGTACAAAACAGTTGTAGTGGTCAAAAAATATCACACATTTATCTGTACAATTTAACAATACTTGAAGAGGCCGCTCCACTTGGCCGACCCTCTACTTAGTCCACATTCTCCCCGATGATCTGAAATGTCTCGTGTTTTCTGATAAAGTGCACCCGTTAGGCTGAGAAAATTAAGAGCGTTAAACATCAAAAAGACATCAGTGATGGCGGGACAAAGAAGGAATGTTATCTGGTGATTCGTTTCAGAACATGATTCGTAATAAAACCAACGTACAAAGGCTACAAATGAATCGAGAAGCGTCGGCGATATGAGAAGGACGCGCAACTGATGATGACCGTCAACAGAACGCTGCGAGTTCACTTGATGAATTCGGCTCTCGGATTCTTGATCTTTATTACGACGGAGTTTTAGGGCAAGGCCAAGAAAAAGGAGGAGGAAAAAAAAAAAAACAAAAAAAAAAACGAGAATAAAGTCACAATATTACGAGAATAAAGTTGTTATACGAGAACTTGGACACAAAAAAAGGCAGCAGCCTTACAGCTGCAGAGGAGGAATGTTGAGCATCTTGTGAAGTTATGCTTTGGCATTGGTTTTACAAATAAGGAAATAATTTATTAACACATCAACATCAGATTAGCGTCATTAGCAGGCAGATCCTGATAATCTGATGATGGCGTTTACTATGACCTTATTCTAGTAATATTACAACTTTATCCTTGTATTACAACTACGATTTTATTCTATTGTGACTAGTCCAACTTTATTCTTGTAATTTTATATTTTTCTTTAGTGTCCCCTAATACTCCGTCATGTGTTATACTCAATTTTCATTTATACTAAAGAAAGAAAAAAAAAAAGATTTGTTGTGCCATTTCATCTGCCGACTTGACAGGATTTGTTGTAGTCATCTCAACATGATCACTCATTTGGATCAGTTACCTCACAAAAAAAAAAAAAAAAAAAAAAATCAACTGAGGGTGAATGATAACAGATTACAAACATGAATAATCAAAACTGTTACAAACGAATCAGTTTGTCGCACTGTGTTTTTCCGCTTTGGGAGGGTCCATTTGAATCCCGTGGATGGTAAAAAAACAACCCAACAGAGGAAAGGTAAACCCCTTCTACAACGTCATCACCGGATTGAAGTATCGCCACAACAGCTTCCCGTAGGAGCCAATCGGCACAAACCTCGCCCATCGAGATCGAAAAACTCCGGCCAAGCCGTCGCCGAGCTGCGTTCAGACACTTTTGATACAATCCAACAAAAAGACGATGTTTCTATTCGAGATGTCCCTCTAGAAGATTAATAGTTTTCCCATAGACTGAAGTAGTATAAAGACGACGGTCCTCGGCGTCCGCTGCTCGTCGCGGCCCTTCCTCGTGGCGTTCCTGAACGGCGGCGGCGAGTCGCGGCATTACGATACCCCGCCCAGAGTCAGTACGTCAAAGCAGATGTCGCACACTCTCACCGGCTTGTTCAAGTCGAACTTGATGATCGGTATCTCCTTTATAGAGCACTTGTGGCACAGCAGGCGCCCACAATGGCGGCTGGAGTCGAAGAGGGAACGGGAAAGAGAGAGAGAGTGGTTAAGGAGCTGGACGATGACGTGTTTAGAGCAAGAACAATTTCTACAAGCTCATTTGTTGTACAGTTGTAGCTAGAATTTTAGTTTTGACAAATTTTACTGCTTCGGTTTTTGAAGGCGGTAATTAGGATAGAGTATAAGTTAGTAGGAAATGGTTCAGATGGAAGAGAAGCCATTTTGCTCTGTGCATTAGCTCAGAACCCCAACCAAAATGGCGTGCTAGCATCAGTTCAATCCTCTTCTGGTTCACTGAGTGAAGCCGATATCGCTCATTTTGATTGAATTAGCAGAGCATTAAGAGTTGCCTTAAAAGGGAGCGCTGCTGGAAAGCCTTGTGTTGCCCATCGGGATTATCTCCATGTGCTGTCATTACATCACTTAGCAACACGAGCCAAGAAAGGAGGGGCACAACTAATAAATCATTAAATGTGCCATAAAATATGTCAACTCATTAAGATGCAAACTTATAATAACCAAAGAAGGCAATTAATTAAATATGTATTTAACTGTTTCCTGGCTAAGAGGTTTTGTTGAACTCCACTAGTTTAGCCTGTTAGTTCTGTGATTTTTCCATGTTAGAGAGCACAGAGGCAGATTACAAACATTAAAGAAAAAGAAAAAAAAAGGATATAGGACCAATTGGTAATAAGGTTTTTTTTTCCAGCCTCATAAAATGGTGTTACAAGGGATCAAAACATTCACAGTTTTTATAAATCTCATGCATTTTTTTCTATAAAAGGCCCTTATATCAAATATTTGATACTGAACTTAAATGTAGCGCAAAACCTTCCAAACAAAAACACTCGAAAACACAGAAGCAGTAGATTTTGTGCAAAACTCTGTTATTGCCCAAGGTGCTGGCTGGGAAAGACCGTAAGGTGCAGATGAAAATGGCTGCCAACTAACCAGTGGTGTTTCCGTGTCGTTACGCCAAACTTCGCGGTACATTCATAGCAGTTGGACCCATCACACCAAGGGGGCTCTTTGGACAGCATATCTATAAAAGCAAAGCAACAATGTGGCTCGGCTACAAACATATTGGAGGATAAGAGCAGCTCTCATGTTGAATAAAAAAAACAGGGAAAAACCCACCTAGAAGGCGGAAGAGCAGCTGTTTGGTTGCAACTTGGTAGTTGAAAATATTAGTGCCCTGATTATTCGTGACGCCCAGTCGAGCCCCAGCCCTCACGATGGCTCGGCACAGGTTGGCGTTCCCTTTCATGTAGGCCAGGAGCAGAACTGCAATGAAGGCAACGCATTATTACAGTGGAGAGTTCATTTTAAACTTGCATGATAAATAATCACCACCACAGTACCAGTGTTCCCTTCGCCGTCTGGCTTGTCTAGAGGGTATTCTGGCATACACTCCAGGAATAACTCAAAAATGGCTGCCGCGTTCTCTTTACCGTAATGTCCCAGTACATGCATTGGCGACTGACCCCTAAATAGACGCAAAAAAAAAAAAAAAATGCATTTTTGCTTCATTGCCAACATTTTGCTACACATTGGCTCCCAGTAAAACATGGAACTAAAAGTACCTGAGATTGAAGGCCTCAGCATCGATGTTGGACTCAGTCAGAAGGGTTCTGACGTTGTTAAGGCGGCCCTGCATCACAGCCAGATGCAGAGCTGGAGAAACAGCAGCAGAGAAAAGAAATGTTGATTAGAATCATGATTTGAAGATGAAATGAAACGAATAAACCTTAAAGCTACAGAATGTAACTTTTACACAGTTTCCATGTTTGTTAAAACTGTCTCCACGTTGTGACAGTACAACATGAGACGGATAATCTGTGAAAAGATGGAGCTTCTCAACCGGTTAAAGATTAGGATTTCTGATTTACTACTGAAGGAATGAACCCCTCCCGGGTATAAACAAGCAATCAGAGGAAGGAGGAGGGTCTTAGGAGGGTTTGATTGACTCCGATTGGTTGTTTCTAACTCAGTGGTGCATTTATGCAGTTAGTAGTAGAAGAAGGCAGAGGCGCTCTTTTTTCACAGATTGTCTGATATTATGCTGTCGCAACAATTTTAACAAATATGTAAAAAAAAACAACAATAAAACACCACATGTTTCATATAAGTGCACGATTAGGACAAAAACCATTAATCGATTTGATTGATTATTGAAATAATTGTCAACTAATTTAGTAATTGATCGTTAACTGAAGTGTTCAGACTCAAAAAAGGCCATTTACTGAAAAAACACCAACATGTTAGGAGTAATAATTAAGCCAAAACTGTACAAAAATATATGCATGCAAGATAAAAAAGCAAAAAAAAAAAAACATCTTTATCTGTAAATGTGCAGTTCAGATTTACTAAAGTAATCCAATTTACTAACGCAATGTTTATTTTATTGCCCAAAAATAAACCCTCCATTACAATGTTAAATTTAACCACTTGAATCATTATTGCCATTATTATTCCGGTTAATTGATGACTAAAATAATAAGTTGTAGTCCTACTCACTGCAAATGCTTTTCAGAACTGCTTCACAGCGGGGTTGGAACCAGCTCAGAACATTTGCCATGCAAGGATACTTGGGAATGCAAATGAGCCGGGCCCAACCTTAACTCCTCTCCTCTGGGTGCAGCTGCTCCTTTCATTTCCCTCTCTTATGGTTCAACAACAGCTACTAATGTGTTACGTTATTACTTTTAAAGAAACCTGCTGGTTTGCCGGTGAAAGATCATGAATGATTACTGGTTCCTGTAATGCATCAGCGTCATGGTATAAAATAAGTCCTGCATTCAATCCCCCCCCCATTTACAATATGTTTGGTTCTATCAAAAAGACCTAAAATCAGGTCACTGTAAAACGGCAAGTTCAAGAGCACAAGGAGGCGCAAAAAGGTCAAGATTAAAAAAGAAAAAAGAAAAAAGTGAAATGTTAGTGAAATAATGTCTAAATAATAATAAAAAGAACCAACTCTGTTTCCATGCAAATTATGAGCCTAAAGCATCAGCAATGACCTCGTCAGGCTTTTTTCAGTAGCAGTTCTAGTTAGATAAGTAAATCTATCAAATCGTGAAAAATTCCTCATAAGAATTTCGATTCATCGTGCAAACAAGTTCAAATTAATAAAGTTGCCCCGCAAAACATTTCAGAATGGAAATGATCGAGCCTAATTTTAATTCATCGCACTTAACTGGTTGCAACAGGACCAAGGGTATCAAAATGAAAAATATTTAGATACGAGTGAGGAAAGACAGCCATCGTCTTTTATTAGAAAATTACTTCTAAAAAAAAAAAAAAAAATGATTACCATTGTTGCCATTTTCATCCTCAGCAGCAAAATCTATGCCGTTCTCCAACAGCACAGAACAAATAGTGGCCTGGTCCTGCTGGGCAGCCAGATGCAGCGCCGTCTGCCTGTGTTTGGTCAGCTCGTTTACTTTGGCTCCGGCAAGCAGCTGGACACAAATACACAACCCAACGTTATACATTTCACCACGACTTTGGGAATCGGACTGGGAAGAAAAAAAAAAAAAGAAAGGACTTTTGTACCAGGTTGCGGACAATGATTTCAGAACCGGCCTGCACGGCCAGGTGGAGAGGGGTGAGTTTGGCAGCATCCTGGACTCTGGAGTTGACGTTAGCCTGAACGCTGATGAGGAACAGGACGCTTTCGATGTCCGAGTTTTGAACAGCCAAATGGAGGAAATTCCTTCCTTTGTTGTCCACCTGGACAGGAACGAACATTTTAATACACAAAAACTTTCATGCCGTGTGTTTTTTCCACGCCGTTCTCACGCATTTTTTCCCTCCCTCCCCCCTCTGCTACCTGTTCCGCGGCGCCGGGCTCCCTCTTCAGGATGGCCTCCGCCGCCTTGTTGTTCTTGTGCGTCATGGCGCAGGCGAACGGCGTCATGCCTTGGCGATCCCGGAGATTGAGCCGGATCTCCGGATGGGAAATGAGGAGCTGGATAATGACGTTGTGCTGGTTACTGATAGCAGCGTGGATGGGAGCTCTGCCCTCTGAATCCTGAAAACACACGAAGGCCACACATTCACAACTTTGATTTGCTTCCACACACACACAAAAAAAAAACTGACAGAATGAACTCACTTGTGCATTGACATTAGCTCCAAACTCTAAAAGGCACTGCACCACGTCCTCCAGGCCCCAGCTGCTCGCCAGGTGGAGGGGTGATTGTCCGTCTCGGGCTTCTTCATCTCCTTCCCCATTAGGTCCGGGTCGCCTCGGGCTGTTCACGTCACAGCCGCTAGAGACACACACACACACGACGAAGATGTACTAAACTCCAACTACAATACGTTTCCTGGCCTCAGACCTAAAAATGTCAACATACTTTTGATACTTCATTTATTTTTTGGGGGGATTGTTGTTTTTGTGAAATCTAGATTCAGAAGAAAAACAGCAGTAAGTTTGATCTGCACACAGGGAAAAGTATCAAACCTGCGAATGAGGAAGCAGGCAGAGACCTCGTTGTTCTCATCCACGGCTCTGTGCAGGAGGGTCTGCAGGCAGCCGGAGGGGCCCGGGCTCCAACATGTGGCATCGCAGCCGTGACGCACCTAGTGGGGCAAAAAGGGCGTCGTGTCAGAAAAAGGAAATGGTACAAAAATGTATTCCTTGGATCATTTTGTCTTCCCCAAAAATAGTGAAAAGTTAAGTCAGATGAAGCACAGATTGTAGACGGGGGATTTAAAAGGAAAAGTTGTTTGTGGTTGCATGTTGGCCAGTCATTCAGGCTCTCATTTAACACATCCTCTATGG